ATACAACAGTGGCAAAGATAACAGAGGCAGTCAGCGGTGCACGTAACACAAACAAAGTGTCACAACAAATACAAATACACAGTGGTTAATGAAAATTATTGATATATTCAAAAAAAAGGAGAAGAAATATATTCAAAGTTTAGTTCAAAAGAGGGCAATGGATTGGATAGCCTTTTAGAGCTTTATCGTCGATTTCATTTTTTTTTCTCCTCCAGACATAATAGTCCAACGGATTAGTATCCGGAGATTTTGGTGGCCATTGTGCGCTGGCAATGAAGCGAGGGACCTCATTTTGTAAACATTCTTGGGTGGCGCGTGCTGAGTGCGATGGTGCTGAATCCTGTTGGAATGTCCAAAGTCTGCGGCCAAAATGTTTGCGTGCCCAAGGCTTTAATACACCCTCCAGAATATTTCACGATAATATTCGGCATTTATTCTGATGCCACGGTGGATTAATACGACCATCGACTGTAATAGCGACCCACACCATCACCATGGTCGGGGATTGAGTTCTGGTGTTCAACCGAAGTTGCCATGTTCAGCTGACCTCTTTGGCAAACACGATAATTTTGTTTGTTTACAAACTGCTGGACAACGAAGGTTTTCTTATCGACGAAAACCAAATTGGGCAGTTCAACACTTTTGGCCAAGCGAAGCAAATCTTTAGCTTTGAGTCTATTTTCTATCTGTTGCGGTGTAAGTTCTTGCACTTTTTGGAACTTCAATGACTTTACATCGAACCATTTCTGCTGTTGTTGCTGTTTTCTTCCGCCCACTTCCTTGACGTCGGGCTACGCTACCAATATCACGATAACGAGCGATGGTACGAGACACAAAAGATTTATTCACATTTAAATGCTGGAACGATAGCCACTTGTGCTTTTCCAGCCAAATATAAAGAAATCACACTATCACGCTTGAATTCCATCACGAATAACTTTTTTCTGGAAAATTCTCACCAATATGCTTTTCTCCGCTTGTAAACAATATAATGAGCTGTCACTGGAAAAATTTTAACAACTGTCGGAAGAGTGGCTTCGAAAAGACAGCAGTCTGAAATTGGTTGCATTTTTTTCATCTCACCCTGTAGAGATGACTCTCGTAATATTTTAAATGCAGGTCCTAGATTTGGTGCAGTTCGACAAGATTTTTGGCATATATTAAACTTAAACATACACCGATGCCAAACGTTTTTAAAATTGTATGGTCCGACTGTAATTTAAAGTTGGGGTTATTTGATGGATAGAACTTCTCTTTGTTAAGGTTGTTATTCTATATATTCTTCTTCAACTACCTAGTAATGCAATGAGTATTATTATTCTGTCTTGTTCACATGTCTATTTTGACCTAATATATAAAAAAGTCTTGGCGCCCAACGTTTTGATCGATAAAAAATTTAGTATTAATTCCCAAAAATTTTGTGATTTCTGCATTTTATTGTGATATATTTTTGGAATTTTCCAAAAAAAAAAACTATATATATATATATATATATATATATATATATATTTCTCCCCCACTGTGCAAGACAGAAGCTAACTTTGTTGTCTTTTTTCATTTTCCCAGAGATTAGTCTTAAGCAACTGCTGCGGATGCTGTTATGATGCATCCCTTGTTGTTTTTTTTTTCTTTCTGTGTGTGTTTTCCGATTCACTTTCTGCTGATGGTTCCGTTGATGCCGCTTGCTTTGGCTGCCTGCGCACAGTTGCAACTTATGGTGGGTGTCACAAAAGTTCAACATTTGCCTCTTTAAGTAGGGAACGAACGTTGAGTGCAGTATTTGGGTGCCACGCTTGCCGATAACATCACAAACAAATACAAAAGAGACCAAAACAAAACAGTAAATCAAAAAAGTAAAAAAAAAAAACACCAACAAATCCAAAATGTGAAAAATGCAAACAAATTAACGAAAAAATATATGTGTGCATATATAAAACAAAACTTTTGATTTTGTGCAACTTATTGTGCCTCTCCATCTTTTGTAGTAGAGTAGGCTTTTGAAACGTCAATAGAATAGAATATACAGGGCCATTTCTCCCGCTTTTTTGTTTATTTAAATGTTATACAGAACGTGACTAAATTTATGTTATTTATTTAAACTATTGTTTTTTTTTTGTTTTGCTGTTTCATTCGCCGACACTAAGTGTTTTATAAACGTTTTCTCATCATATGCTAGCCAGTACCGCATGGTACTAAAAAGGATTTATGTGAGACAATTTATTAACTTTATCGCCGGCTTGGTTTGCTTGGTTAGTTTGAGAGTGGACGTTGTTTGAATATTGAATTTAAAGTGCTGCGGGTGCTACTGTTGTTTTATTTGTGTTGTCCAGATGTCGCTGAGTGGTGTAGATAATAGTGTAGGTGGCTTTGTTTTTATTCTTTTCGTGTAATCTAAGGTAATTTATTGTTAAATGTGTGTGTTTATTTTATTTTATTTATTTTTTTTTTAATTTCGTTGGAAATGTTGTAAGTTCTTTGGTAATAAAAAAAAGTTTCTTGCATTACGACCACCTTGGATAGTGGATTTTCTGGGGAAATTTATGGCGACAAAATAATGGCAAATAAAAATTATTTTTAACCATCATAATTTAAGGGATTTTCAATGGATATAAATAAATATAATAAATATTTGAGTGAAGAAAGACATTTAAAATGTGTCGTTTTTAAATTAATGCAGTTTGATACGTTATGGCGCCCAATAAAGCTAATGATGTGTATGTTAAAAATGAAGGACTTAAAAGTTAGGTCAACATTTTGAAAATATGAAACAAAATTGCAACAAGTAATGGCTTCTATTAATAATTATTTCTGAAATTATTATTTGCGGTTTTTATAAAACTATTTTCAGAAAAAAATAAAAAGAGTAATATTTTCCTTTTCTCTCAATTGGTGAGGAAATTTTCCAAAAGTTGTAAAACATTATTTTTATGGGCATAAATAAATTTTATATTTATATTTCAGTTTTCATGTAAAATCTTGCAGGAAAATATCGAAAGAATAAAAGGTCTGTAATTCTTTCTTAACATGTGGGAAATTTTTCATATATGGCGCCCAACGTGTTATTGCAAATATTTGCATTCTCGCTTCAAAAATAATATTTAAAATATATATATATATATTTTTTTTTTCGTATTTCCCTCTAAAGCATTTCTCCAGATGTAAAAAAACGCTTTAACATTGCATTGCAATTTGTCTACCCCAATTTTGCAAATTACAATGAAACAGACCAACCAGCAATTCCGTTTGTTTATCATGTGTCTGGCACAATAATCCTGTCTGGCAAAATCTTCAACATGTGTAGTTAACTAAGAATCCAAAAAATAAATAAATGCAAACTTTTGCCAAGAAGAATTTGTGTATAAAAATAGTCCTAAAAATATTTTTTTTTTTGCAACAGACACAAAAAATAACATTTCATGCACTCCCCAGCCATCATAAAATAATATTCCAGAAGAAGAATGCTGGAATTCTTCATGTGTTCACATGACAAGTCTATGGAAGCCAGAAGACATGGAATGGAGTTGTAGGCAGACATGTCTCATCATAGTGTATACTATATACATATGTATATTTAATTAGATTTAGGGTTAGTTACGAATGCCGTATGATAAGAAAGAACTCCCTTTAACGAAAATAAAAGTTTTAGAACGTTAATGGAAAAAAGCTAATTTTTACAAATTACTTGTAATCTTAACTGACAACAAATATAAGACCAGATAGAACCTTTCGTAGGTCACAAAAAAATAGTAAACCAAAGCAGGGGACAACCCTAAATGCAAGATAAGACTTCAAAGTAAAATACAAATCATACGTTGGGCGCCAAAAAAGGAGTAATTTTAATCTTTAAACTACGGCTATATTGAAACATACGAATAAAATAAAAAGCCCATATTGGGCGCCAAAACAATCAAAACATGCAATCTAAACTGGCAGGAAATAAAACAGCCGATAGAACACAAAATTGGGCGCTGAAAATACTAACCGGTTTTTTTTAAAACACTTGGCTGCCAAGAACTATAAAAACCTATAAACTAAACTGGCAAAAATAAAAACCCGAGAGATTACTCCTACCAAACGTTGGGCGCCAATACAACCCGGTATTCTAAAGCAGACATTCCCACAAATTTTGAAAACTACAGAACTTCTGCAAGCGACTTCCTCCCACAAAAATGTAGACGAAAAATACTGCTACTTTGATAGCTACTTTTTTTAATTCCCTTCAATTTCGTTACAAAAAGGGCAAACTATTATCAGCAGCTACTCAAAACATTTATCTTTAATAAAAAAAAACCAACAAAATACCACTCTAACACTTAGAGGACAATTTTCAACACATTTATTGTTGCAGTCAAATATCATCAACACCAATGGAACATGGCCATGGAATGCTTAAACAAATCACCATCAAAACAAATACAAAGTGTCGATTTGTTTTCGTCGAATGGACGATTGTCGAAATCTATGGTGACACAAATGTTTGCATTTAATCGCTTCTGCATTTTTTCCGTTTTCGTTTTTTTTTTGTTCCCATCACCCCACCACCATCAAACATACATGGTTGGCTGGCTGACTGGCCGGCCATAAAAGAAATCCTATGTAAATATACAAACAATAAATACACACATATCAACGATATGCAGCCAAATCAGTCAGTCAGGCAGACAGTCAGCCAGCCTGCCATCCCATGCCATCCCTAAATGTCAGATGCCGGTAAAAGGGAATATAGCATAAAACCGCATGTAACAGGGCTCTGTATTGGTAGGGACGTTTCAAAGTTGGCCGTCGGCCTTGTTATCAGTGAATATTGTCGTTTGTTTTCGCTTTGTCTCAATTTGTTTTCCCACTCATTTCTGTTGCTGCCTTTTTTCGACTTTTTATATTGTATTTCGTATCTTTTCTTGTTTTTTTTTTCTTCTAAATTTACCTCTGCAAATGCAGAGTTTTCTGGTGGCTGACGACTCTGGATATTCTTTACTAAAAATTATGTTTTTATTTTACAGACAACTGTGGAACCATGAACAGCAGCATGAGCGGCAGCTCTACTGGTTCATCAGCCTACAACATGGACGACATTCTGATTGTGACGGCCAAGCACAGTGAAAGGGCAATATTGAGAGCGAATTTCTTGAAAAATCATTTCGATAAAATTACCAAACAACGTGGACGCAAACCTTTTAAGTGAGTTAATATTTAAACGAAATTTTACCTAAATTGTTTATTAATTTCTACTCATTTTTTTAATTTTAGCTTTTTGCACATCAAAATCGAAGATGGTCCGTTTAGTGAAGAAATTGCTTATAAATACCAAAATACTGCCTTGCAAATTATCATACTGTGTCCTGCTTTATTGGCTCTCTCGCATTCCCTGTTGATGTCCCAGCTTTTGAGCATAATTCGAGTGGAGAAAGTTTTGGGTATTCTCTTGGATGTTACCGAGGAAAAAGTCAAGGAAATACACAAATCGGGTAAGTTTGAATTAAAAAAGATGGTTTTGAAACAAAAAAAAATAATTTTTGTTTTTTTTTATAGCTCTTCCCAATTACTTAAGATGGCGCCGATGTGTCATACGCGACAATGATCAAGCTCAAATAAGTAATATCTTGGGTATTGCCACGGACATTTTAGGCCGTGCCTTGTGCCAACGTCCCGTTTGTCATGACTCTGGCTCCAGCATCTCGCGCAGCATTTCCTCCTGCTCCGATGGCTTTACTATTCTACCCAAGAAAGTTAAAATTGGCCAGAATAAGGTGGTGGCCATGTTAAATGAGGGCTTGGAAAAAGACGATGTGTTGAAAATTGTTGTAGAAAAATCCGGTGAATTAATTGAAATACGTAATTTCAAGTGTCGCAATCCCTATACTGTGCAGTTTGCCATACCAGGTAAGATTTTTGCTTAATAAAATCAGATATTTTCTGAATCTTACATTTCTCGAAATGACAAGTATCATTGCCAAATTTAAACAAAGCTATAAGAGTACAGCATTTAAAAATTGTCCTATCACGGTATTAGGTGCTAAAAATGACAATATGCAATTCTTTAACATCATTCGGTTTGACTTTTCGAAAATATTAACATCTTATCTGTTTTCTTTTCACAATTATTTTGTTTATTAACTAAAAATTCCCCTCTCTCTCTCTCTCCTCTGCAATTTTCTTTACAGAATCCTGCATGGAAATTTCCACCATGGTTGAGGTTCGCATCGAAAAGAACCACAAGAGCCTTGGTGCTCGCCCCATCAAATGTGAATCACGTCTGCGTGAATTGGAGCAACTATTGCGCACCGAAGATTCACCCATTGAGTTTATGTGCCATGCATTGGGTATTGGACCCACTGAAAAAGAGGAATTGGATATGCATTTACTGCAAAGCTTCCAAAAGAATATGCCACCCAATTTCCATTTGCTCAATGGACCGTATGAGAAGCAATCACATTTCCTTACAATGCGTGAAACTAGTCCCGAAGAATATCCCACGCTGTTACATTTCGCTGCCCGTTGGGGTCTCAATCGTTTGGCCATGCAATTGATGGAATGTCCCGGTGGTGACACTGCCTGCGGCATCAGAAATTGTGCTGGAAAGACGCCGGCTGAATTGGCCGACATGGAGGGTCATCACAAGTTGGCACGCAACATCATGAGCTTTTCCGAATTCCATGAACTCACCACAATGTATCACTATTTCAAGGGTCTGAGTAATGATAACAAGAGTAATCAAAACTCCACGGCCAGTGGCAAGACAGCCGGCAACACCAAGGTGGTAATTGAGGCTGTTAAATCCCATCCCACCTCACCAAAGACCAAACAACCCAAATCACCCAGATCACCCAAAGTTCGTGATTTGCCTGCCGATCAACAGGCGGAATATATGGAAATGTCCAGTGGTTCGGATCGTGAAAATACGCCAGAAACAAAACCAAAGCAAGAAAAAGAAACCATGGCCATAACAAACCTGAACTACATCAGCGTGGAAACTGAGGAGGAAAATTTACAAGGCTCATCGGCAGATGTGTGTAAAAACTTCGATTCTAACAAAGTGGTGACCACACCGGAGATCACCTCCAATGAATTGAATATCAGTGAGCCTCCATACTATGCCTCGAAGGAACAAAATAAGGTTGTCTCGAAAGATGTCACCGATGCTCCCATTTATCAAACGGATAAATTCAGTCAAGAATGTTCCCAACTGTTGGAGAATTGTACCAGTACCGCAGCCAACAATGATTATGTTTTGCAACCCTCAAATGTGCCGGTTCCAGCATCACAGCAACAACAACCTACATCCCCCACCAACACCGATGATGGCAACTATTTGTTTCAACCTTCCAATCGTCCAGTTGAGGAGGAATTCTTACATCAATCCAGACAAAGTTTAAATCGCTTGGGTTCATCATCCCGTCTGGCCCATCAACCAACCTATGGCACTCTAAAGAGGTCGGTGTCCGATGCTTCTTCATCGGCCAGGGCCAATGTTGATGATGAATTAGCCGAAATTATGCATGACTTTAAGAACAATGTTCTGTCGATACGTGAAGTGGAGGTTTTGGTTGAGAAATGGAAACATCGCAACGATGTTCAGCAAAGTTTCCGTGAAAAACAGGATCAAATCGATCAACTACGAAGGGAATATGAAAGGATTCAAGATCAAATACGGCACCACCTGAAACGTGAAACACCATTCGAAAAAATCAAAAAACTTTTCTCACGACACAAATCTACTTCGAACTTGCATCACGACAAGTCATCATGCGTCGACAGTGCTTTGGATGAAACCAAATCATCGATTACCACATCGTCCAGCTTTAAATCATCTGCCAGACCCATTAGTTCATTGAGTTTGCAATCTGTTTCATCGTCATCTTCATCGGGACGTTTGAGTACGGGCAGCAATTGCAGTGGTACTTCACTGGGAGATTCGGGCACCCATTCAGATCACGATGAGCGTAGATTTGGTTGTCGTCTAGCATCACCGGGTATGGATAATTATTTGGTACCACCCACACCCAGACCCGTGTATACGCCCAATTCCACACCCGGCGATGAGAGGCATCAAATTGTGTTTCCCTCCCCAATGTCATCGTGCACTAAACTCAACACCCCCACCAGCCCCACAAGTTCGGAACACTATCAAATGTTCCCCTCAAATATTCCCGTCTATAGTAGTCAAAATTTATCCACATCATCGTCATGTAACAATTATTTGAATACCATAATGGAGGCTAAGCAGGAGCAGGAACACAACTATCAAAACGGTAATGGAGTGACATTGCAGCCCATTAAATTGAATGAGCGTTCAAATATTATCTATGGCAAACTTACTAAGTCCAATCCCAAATGTTCGTCCTTCAAACCTAAACAGGTTGCCATACCGCAAGTGGGAAGTTTAGAGATCCAAGCTGAAGTATATCAGAATGTGGGTGAGAATTTGGAAGCGCCTAAGAAGGAAAGTGAGCAGACACAATCAGAGGATCAAGTTGATGGAGCCAATGGAGATGATCATAATTACATGAATTGTTAGTCACGGAAAGAATATGGAAGGAAAAAAAAACTTTTGAAGTGTAAGCTTCACCTAGATCTAGATATTGCATTCAAAAGAAATGTTGTGCCTTAAAAAAGCTTTAAATATCTGTGGAGAAAAGCTTTCATGGTGTACATAGACTTGATATAACTTGCGAATAAATAATGATAGATGCTTTAAAGATCAGTAGCACTAACTTCTAAGAACTGTTTTGGGGCAGCCTATGTTCTTTAAGTACGGAATATACAGGCATGGGAGGAGTTTAGATTTAAAGTCCTCAGCTGAATATTTAAATGAATTTATTTAAGAAAGTTTCAAAAGATTCTCGAATTGGATATAGAAAATAGCATATTCAGAACCTTATGTATAACATCTTCAAAATAAAGCTTTTCAATAAGAAGAAAAAAATATATATATAAACATATTCGACATATCACGATTAATGATCAAATCGAATAACCTTCAAGATAAGAAAAAATGAGAGCAAGCTTGACAATGTTCATAAATTTTCACAAATCTGAAATTTTTTTAATTTCACAATAGTAATTTAAGTAAATAAACTCTATAAGAGTATAAGATTTTATTTTTAAACTGCAAATTGATCTTTATTAGTATTTGTTTATTTTTAAATGTTTGTATTATTATTATTATACATTTTTTTTAAATTCACAACATAAATGAACAATGAGTATAAACTAGTTAAAATTAATATAAACTATTTTTTTTTATTAATATTAAGAACAAAACAAAAAAAAAAATATTTTAAGACTGTGGCAATATAGAAGAAAACGTCAAAGTTTATTAATTTGTAATAAAACGAAATTATCTTTAAGGCCAGTGCATGTACATTTTTATTTGTGTTTAAAACAATATTTTTTTATTTTGTTGATGAAACGGCAAACAACCAAACAAACATATTTTATAACGACAACAAACAATATATCATTGCATATTTGTATTTTTTTATAATTATTTGTAAACAATTAAAAAATGAGTCATCGTTTTGTTTTTTTTAGTTCTAAAGAGTTTTTGTTTATTTCTCAACAATGGCAAACGAACAAACCAACGATTAACAAAATAAAATTGAAATAATAAAAAAATAATTTTATTTTCTGTATTATAGAATTAGGCAGGATATTCTAAATATACAAATTTGTATTTTAAGTTTAAATTAGAATGTTTAATTTGATAAAATTAAGTATAAACAAAAAATGGCAAAAGCAAGCAAAAAATCAAAAAAATATTCTACTTTTACGTTGTATTCATTCAATTAAAACATACTCATGTAATCATATATTTTTTCAAATAAAAACCACACAATATATAATGTTTAAAACCCCTCCAAAAATAGTTTTGTTTTATTTTTATACCCTCCGCCTTGAAAAGGGCGGTATATTAACTTTGTTATTCCGCAATAAAGTAAAATTCCAAGTCGAGCTAACGATATCCGTCTGTCCTTCTGTCTGTTGAAATCACAATACATCTCACAATATTTGACATAGAGTTTCAAAATTTGGCCGAATAATTTGTATTGTGTCTAGGATTGTTGGTATGGAAAATAAAACGGTACCTCCCAATAATCGGCATTTTGATGATCTTTGCCACCTATGTTCACGAATTTGTCTAAAAATTGGTATTTGTAGTTGGTAATGGGTTCTAGCTCCTGTGACGGAAATTAATATACAGGGTGAGATAAAAAAACTGCAACAAAGTCAAACGGCATAATTTTTAAAAAATATCGGAAATATCATCAAATGTTAGAATAAGTTCAGATTTATTCGAATTGCTCACCTTTGGCACGAATCATGGCCTTCAAACGACCAATGAAACCTTCACACGCTGCCCGAATGTTGCTCTGCGGTATTCTGGTCCATTCCCGGCGAAGCTCTTGCTTCCGCAACCTTGCCTTCCACAATACTCCAGACCCAATAGTATAACGGATTGGTATCCGGAGATTTTGGTGGCAATTGTTCAAATTAAGCGAGGAACCTCATTTTGTAACCATTCTTGGGTGGCCATTCTTGAATCCTTTTGGAATGATCAAGATCTGCGGCCAAAATGTTTGCATGCTTGAGGCTTTAATACACCATCCAGAACATTTTCGCGATAATATTGGGCATTTATTCTGATGCCACGGTCGATTAATACAAGCGGAGAGCGACCATCGGCTGTTATGTCGGCCCACACCATCACCATGGCCGGCGATAGAGTTCTGGTGGCCAATCGAAGGTGCACATTTTCAGCTGACCCCTTTGGCAGTAAACACGACCATTTTGTTTGTTTACAAACTGCTGGATAACGAATGTTTTCTAATCGGAGAATTCGGCAGTTCACCACTTTCGGAAGAGCGAAACAACTCATTAGCTCTTTTGAGTCTATTTTCTTTCCGCTGCGGTGTAAGTTTTTGCACTTTTTGGAATTTCAATGGCTTTACCCCGAGCTCATTTTCAATATTTGCCGAATGGAATATTGTGATATGTTCAGCTTAAGAGCCATTTTCGGCCACTGCGACGTGGGTTTCGATCAAGTCGCTTCTTTATTATTCGAACCATTTTTACTGATGTTGCTGTTTTCTTCCGTCCAGTTCCTTTACGTTGGGCTGTGATAAGAGACACAAAAGATTTATTCACATTTAAATGCAGGAGTGCTTTAAAGATAGTCACTTGTGGTTTTCCAGCCAAATATAAAGAAATCACACTATCACTTGAATCCCATCACGAATAATTTTTTTTCTGGAAAATTCTCACCAAAATGCTTTTGTACGCTTGTAAACAATATAATGAGCTGTCACTGGAATAATTTTAAAAGCTGCCGTATCGTACACCACACTGTGGTATTATATGTTTTTGCATTTGTTTGGAACTGGCGGACAATAAATATTTATAATTCCAATTTATGATCTTCTTATAATCACTTTTTAAGTCTGTCCATATCACAGATTTATATCCCTCCAATTAGATGTAAATGTTATTTTTGTTTAATTAGGCTAATTTTTAGAATCATACCACCGAGATTCGCCTGGAAGAGAGTCTGCCAAATTTAGACCAAATCGATTTCGCTCCCATACATAGGTTTCATTCGATGTTATACTAAAGCCTTATCAAAGTCATAATGTGTACTCTATAGCAATGATATTTTGTACGAGAAGCCACATGCAGAATTACAATACCGAGTCGATTTATATTTAAACATAGCTCCCACCTGTTCCATCTGATTTCAAACTGAAACCACTCAAAAGCCGTAATACACATTCAATATCAAACTTAATCCTTAATTATTATTAAAAATCATCAAATGGCAAGCACCTTATTGAATAACAGGATTCCGTTCCAAAAGAATTTATAATTTTTATGTGGCAATACCGTGTTATATTCCTAAAATCTAAAGCATACTTTTGGGCTCATAATATTGAAGGCTCATTGAGTTGAGTATTACCGGATTTTTTCTGACTTTCTGCCTAAACGTTGAAATAGAGAGTAGAGAACGCAGTATTTTCAACAAAAGTAACTGAGATTTAAATCATTATTTCGAGGTTTTGAAACACTTTCACATAACGCTAGCTTCTAGTTGTTGGTATATTAAAAGCCCCAAATGTAAAATTGTATAATATTGTAAAGTTTTGGGGAAGAACATTAGTGTTGGTTTCATTAAAAACCAATGAAAACTTGAATACCCTCATCCATTTGGAACGAATTTAGAAATTTAAAAATACCGAAAATAAAAATACCGAATATAGCCGTCATACCGGGGTCTATACGACGGGGACGTACATAGGCATCGTTTGTCAAAAGCCATTACCATATTCAAATTCGAAATTTGAAACAAACCGTGAATAATGTAGCTAAAATCATCTAAATACCGTATGTACCGTTATATCGGAGCTATACGAACACCTGGACCTGCATAGACAATTTTCTGTCACAGGCTGTAGCATCCATTACCAACTTCAAATGCGATATCTAAACAATTTCGGTGAGTATTGTACCTAAAATCGTCAAAATAGCGAATATAGGGAGGTACTGATGTATGGAGCCTATACGAATACCTGGACCTGCATGGACAATTCTCTGTCACAGACTGTAGTTCCCATTACGAACTCTAAATACGTAATTTGAAGCTACTCCGATGAATAATGTCGCTAAAATCATCAAAATACCGAATATCGGCAGGTACCGTTATATGGGGGCTATATGAAAACGTGGACATACAAAGCCCATTTACGAACTTAACCTGCCTACTGGCAAAGTGAACATGTTTTAACCTTCTATCTCAATTCGTTTAAAAAAAGCGTGATTACAACGCGGGTCTGACATGAGTATGGCAAAGATTTATAAACGGAATGACAAAGTTAATATACCCTCCATAGTATGGTGGAGGGTATAAAAACACAACAAACAAAAGAATATGTTGAAAAATAAACAATGATTAATGTTGGTAAAAAGTTAGAGAATAGGGTCCCTGTAACCTATTCTGTAACTCTTAACAACTCTTGTTATTGTTAAAATTTCTTTTGTTATTATAACAAAAATAAAACATACAAACGATTTTTTTTTTGTAAAATAAACATTTAAATAGTTGAGAGTACTCATTAAAAAGACTTCTGAAAATTGTAACAACAATCCGAAATCCAAATAAAGATCAATTAAAAATCAAATCAAAAAAATGCATCGAATATACATTATCATTATTCTTCATATTATATATATATTTACGTTCAACTTTTAAGGAATAGCACTTTAATTTAAACCGGCATAAAAATGCTGTACAACACAGCACATCCTTAGCCCACAAATACACTCGAAGCACTTAGACAATACACATACATACATCACATATACATTCTGACATCCTTACACATGAATGTATGTTAAGTATTTAAGTAGCTTTTCCTTTCGTTTATTGTACAAATATCCTTTAATGAACGTATTTTGCCACCAACCAACGCCACCACCATCGCTTGCAGCGGATTTCGGTTTATTTTCGTAAAACACTTACCTTCCCGTTGATAGTACGTTGTTTTTGTGTTGTATTCCTCGTCGTAGTAGTAGTTCTACAGCTGGTTTTCTTGTATGCATCACTCTCACATTGTCCTTAATAGCGGAAGGACAACATAGCTCTCCTATTTGGTTTCCGGTTGCATTACAGCTGTTGTCGATTTCTTTTATTTCGTTTTTATTTTTTCTTCGAATGTGTACCCACCGTCCGTTTGTCATGAACATGCCCCACGGCAGTATTGTATTTTTTGTTTACTTTTTTTCTGTTTATTTTTTGCATTTTTTGTTGTGCGCATTATTGGGAGGAAAAACGTACTCATTGCGAGAGGAGAGAGCTGAGAATGTGGCTAAAGCTTTTGAGTAAAATGCCGGTAGTATTTGTTCTCTGTTGGCGCAGGCGATACTGAGAAAACAGGGTAACTCAGATATGTGTTATTTAGATATGGGACAATCCATGTAAACAAATTAGAAGTTAATCACACGAAATGTGATTGTTTTTATGAGCATATTAAGGCTTCATCGCGATTTAAATTTGAAATCGGAGAGATATCCACTGAATTTGTTGAATATTATTTTTTCACTTGTATGCGATCTCTTGTACAATTTATAAAAATGCATTCCTATTGAGTGCAAATAATGATATCGAAAAGGCTAACATATATAATTTTTTTTGAAACATATATATGGAAGCTATATTTAAATCTATCTGGTCCAAACTTGGTAGACTTTGCTCAAAACATAATCGATACATACATCGTATGGTACAGAATTAATTAAAATTTATAAAGAGATATCACGGTTGGAGTATAATTTATATCAAATTAGAGGATAATATAATATGAATTGATTTCGAAAAAAATGGCAAAGGTATTTGTAGGTTGTATTTGGGAATTGGAAGACACATACATATTGGAGCTATAGCGATATCTAAACCGATTTTCAGGATTTCGCACAATCCAATATTTTTACCTGCACGTGATCTGGTGTGAATATGAGATGTAGCGATCCGCGCCTTTTGGTACCTCCCCA